GTGCTCCAAGGAGAGTACCACCAACCATCACTCTAGTTACCCCATCTTCACCCATCGAGTGATTTCTTTTTTAGTTTCCCATAAGTAAGGTAGAGACGATCGAGGGGTCCCGTACCATGCGGAATCGACCCTATCCAGTGCTCAAGTGCTCAAGGTAGGTAGGTAGGTAGGTAGGTAGGATTGGTAGGTAGGTAGGGGCAGGGGCCGACGTTTTTGCAGAATTTCATGATGACGTACGGCCAAGCAAGAAGTACACACACCTGGTCGCTGGTGTCGAGCCTGTCTGCTGTGAGAGAGAGTTGTGTTCGTTAAATTATTTTTGAGCTACTTCAAAATTCTTTTTTGCACGACACTGTGTTACCTGTGTTAGTGCCAGTGCGCGCCAGTCCCGTGCCCAGTGTCGTGCGAGGGAGTTTTTTGTAAAATTCTTTTTGCCACGGTGCTCGCGGATTCGACCATCCGCCTTCTGACTGCGAATCCGACGACGGCTTCAGTGAGGACGACGGCTTCTATTAGAAGCCGTCGTCCGCGCTTTGCCTGTTCTGTGAATCGTGCGTGTGCGAGAGAGTTGGTTGTGTGAATCGTGCGTGTGCGAGAGAGTTGCCTTTAATATTCTTTTTGGAAACAGGCGGGCGGTGCCTCCCGCGCCCGCGCAGCGCACGTCGCAGCGCGTGTTCACAGCCACGACGTCGTCCTCCGAATTTAACTCCACGCCCTACACACTGATGCCGACCACAACGGTTGTGCGAGGTGGCAGCAGCAGAAGCGCGGGCGTCGGTGTTGGCGTCGGCAGCAGCGGCGGCAGCGGAAGCAGCGGAAGCAGTGGAAGCAGCAATTTAGACCCTGCGCTCTTCCGCCAAGTGCTCGTCGCCGCGGCGGGCAATTTCCTCGAGTGGTACGATTTTGCAGTGTATGGAATATTCGCGTCCGACATTGGCAACGCGTTCTTCCCACCCGAGGACAGCCCGACGACCGCGCTCATCAAGACCTATTCAATCTTCGCGGGCGCCTTCTTCATCCGGCCGCTCGGCGGCATCTTCTTCGGGCACATTGGCGACACGCTCGGGCGCGAGGTCGCGCTGCTCTTCACCATCATGCTCATGGCGACGCCGACGCTCGTCATCGGCTTGCTGCCCACGTACACCGAGATCGGCATCGCGTCGCCGCTGCTCCTCGCGCTCATGCGGATGCTGCAGGGCCTCGCTGCGGGCGGCGAGCTGCCGGGCGCACTCGTCTACGCGGTCGAGTCGGCGGGCCCGCGCCATCGCGCGATGATGGGCGCCCTCTGCCAAGCGACTGGCGTCGGCTCCCTGCTCGCGAGCCTCGTTGCGGCCATCCTTCACTGGATACTCGGCGACACGGCCGTGCGCGAATGGGGCTGGCGCGTGCCGTTTGTCTTGGGCGCGGGGATTGCGGTCGTGGCCTGCTTCCTCAGGCGGAACTTCAAGCCGACGGCGCCGTTTCTCGAAGCCAAGGCGGCCGCCGCGGCGAGCACGCCACGCCGCGTTGGCTGTTGCGCGTGGCTCGCGTCGCTGCCGCTCGCAAAGACGATGCGCAGCTCCTGGCGCTCGGTGCTGCGCATCGTCTGCGCATCGCCGCTCGGCATGGTCGGCTTCTACGGCTTCTTTGTCTTCATTCCATCATGGCTGCGGCACACGCGCCTCTTCGACGCGGCCTTCGCTCTCAACGTGGCGGTGATGCTGCTCTGGGCGTGTGTCGTCGTCGGAGGCGGCATGCTCGCAGACAGGACGCCGCCAACACGCTGCTGCACGCGTTGCAGCGGGAGCGGCCGGCCGTGCTTGGCGCTCCACGGCATCCCTCTCGTCTCCGTGCTTGGCGCTCTCGCGGTGGCCGTCATCGCGCCCTTCCTCTTCATTGCGCTCAATGCCGAGTGCCAGAGCGTAGACAGCGCAGTGACGTTGGCGGCGAACAACCTGACGGGAATCACCATCAGCAGCAGCAGCAT